GCAGGAGCAGGGGGTGTGAGCTGCGGGCAGGCGTGCGCCGGTGCGGGGGCAGCCGGGTGTTGGCGCTTCCTGCGCGGAACTTTGGGTGTAACAGCGTGGACCTGCGTGTGTGTCTGTGCGCGCCCCAAGTCTTTGTGTACAACTCGTGCGTGGATCTGTCGACTGGGTTTTGTGAAGCTTCATCCACGCCGGCTCTACGTCTGGCTTTCCGCGTGTTAGTGCGCGCGCGGTTGGTGGTGGTGCTGGGCCCCGGGTGGGTCTGGCGTAGACCTTAGCAGCTCTGGGGGTAGTTAACCGCGTGTGTGCGTGTGTGTGTGTGTGTGTGTGTGTGTGTGTCCAGCCTTATCCCTTTTGGGTGTGATTCCCTGTGTGACCCGTGAATCTGTGGGTCACACCGTGTGGCTCCCCATGTCTGTGGGTGCTGCGGGTGTAAACGGCCCCTGGGGTGTGACTGTAGGACTGGGGGGTGCCTCTCAGGTCTTGTGGGACTGCAGGTGAAATTGGAGTGTCGTTGGGACAGTTGCCATGTGAGCAGTGGACTCCAGCATCTTTGTCAGTTTGTCCGTTTCTCCTTATGTTTTGGGTTATTGATTGGGCATGTGGGCACCTCTGAACCTGTTGTGAGAGCGAGACTCCCCCTTTTCTCTGCCCTCTTCCTAACTCTGGCATCCCGAGGAAAAAGTTTCGGGCTCCTGCTGGTGAAAGCCCAGCTGCCAGAATTTGGGTGCCCTGGATTTCCTCTGGGATACGAGGCATCCGTGTGCCAAGCAGGGGGTGGTTCCCGGGTCACTCCAGGAGCTGAGCTCTCTGGAGAGTGCTGAAAACTGGGGGCGGGGGGCACATCTGGACATCCACTGGGCAGCAGCTGTCATCACCAGTCCCTGTTTGTGCAGGGCACTCAGGAAAATGCGTTTGGTGCAAAGAGTAGAAAAGCCAAACACTCTATCTCTCCTCTCGGTTTACTGAGAGTGGGAGCAGTCGGCTGGGCCTGGCCTTGAGTTGGCCTCCCTTATCCTTGTGTGGGAGAGATGGTCTCCCTGGGCAGGTGGCCAAGCCACTCCTGGGGGCTGCCTGTGTTCTCAGCCCTGGGCAGGGGGCTGGGGATCCAGACGGAATCCCCGCACATCCCTCCCTGCCCTCAAGCTGCTCATAGTGGCTGATAAGTAGTGGGAGAAAGTCAGTCTAGAGCAAGGGTGGGTGGAATGATGCCGCTGGTGCAGGCGTGTGTGGGTTTGCAGGTTTGCAGGTGATAACAAGAAGCTGTGCTTGCCCTCGGGTGCCCACGCGCACGCCATGGGACCTTGGCCACGTTTTGTCAAGTGGAGAGAGTGATTCCTGCGCTTGGGGCTGGTGAGGGTTAGATCAGATACTCCGGAGGGAAGGGCCCACTGTAGGGCCCAACAGGGCATGGAGGTGCTCAGTAAACACTTACTAAATGGGAACTCAGGAAAGAAGAATGTGGTGATAGAATTGGGTTGTAAGTGGAAACAGGCTTTGTACTCAGATGAAAGGCTCTGTGTGAGCTCAGAGGTGTCCAATGCAAGTCCATGTTGGAAAAAAGATCAGAAAGATAGAAAAACGTGTCTTCCTGCACTGAGGCTCTTTGAGTTTCGTTTATTCACTCATTCATTTCATTCAGTTTTCACTTCATTAACTAACTCATATCCCCTATCCCCCGCCCCATCTCCCTCTCTCTCTCTCTCTCTCACACACACACACACACACCCACACACACACGGGACAACAATGCACTGGAAAATAAATTCAGGCATGAGAGTGCACAGAAACGTCTAGAATCATGTGTATGGGTGTATGTAGACACACCAGAGCGTGTGAGCCACTCTGCAACTGGAGGGTCTCTGTACAGTGTGGGGACTTGGGTCTGTGTGCCTGGGGCCCTGGGTATGTACTCCCAGGACATCAGGTGTGTGGGGAACAGAGTAGTTCTGCTGTGGGACCGGGAATTTTAGATGCCAGGTGGGGAAGGGGGCTTCGATGGGACCCGTGGGGCGGGGAGCAGCACTTAATCTGCTAACAGGAGGCCTCCATCAAATCCAGCTGAGGTGTTGTGAGGAAATGGGTGCCTAGGGTGTTGAGATTCTTCATTTTATAAGAGAAGCCAGGAACCCAAAGCTTAAAATGTAAAACATTTTGCTTTATATATATTGGCAAATACTTCACCAAAAACAAATGGACAGACCAGAAACAAACAAACAAAAAAACCCCCTGAAACTTCTGTGAGCCAACATTGGCCCATGAGCCATAAATTGGTATCCTCTGGCAGGA